TCCAAGTTGGTTATAATATGTCAGTCGCCCTCTTCGGATTGGAGTCCAATATTTATTTCATTTCTTCTCTATTTGATATTTTAATAGAAATTAATTTAAAATAATATGTAGCAAGGTATGTCACTAGCACGCAAGCTACATTCACCCAAGTTGATCTTGTAATCGTTTGAACAATTCTACAATCTAATTAATTATCCATTAATTAATTTATAGATAATATAAACCATCATTTTCCACTACGTTATCATTGATTTTGCAAAATGTTTCCAGATTTACTGTTTGAAAAACAAGTTAAATAATAAATAAGACTAATGGCTTACGGCGTGACTAACTGCTCTGACTGTGAGCAAGCAAAGAAGAAGGAAACCAACAGGAGCTTTAGCTTGCAAGCATTAGGGGTTCAACAAAGCATCGCGAAGTTAGGGAGCAAACTGATCCTACGGGTACGAACTCAGAATTGCCCTAATCGTGTTTCTTGTAATCAATTGAACGGATGAGATGTAAGGAAATAGTTGTCACACGGATTGCCAGCTCATATTAGCTTTGTATTATGATACATAGGATTTTTTTAAAGATAAAAGACAATCCAATCTTACAAACTTTCTCTCATAGCTTTGATGTGATAACTCGTAATTGGTAAGTTCGTACTTAGGCAACGAGACCTATGGTGAGCAAATAGAATCTATTTACAAGTTGACCAATCACAAATTATCATGTCGAGATTATAAAATAAAGTTTGTGAGATTGAGTTATAAGTATAATATTACTCAGTTTTGATGCTTGGAAGTTTGATAGGAAGATTCTTAACTCAGAATTTTTCCTATTTAAGAAGCTTCTTCACTCAAAAGTTGCAGAAACCAAAAGTTTTCTTCTTCTGCTTGGCAATTATTAGTTCTGGATCATGTAAGTGATTTTTTGGGCTAATTGATGAGCTCAAAACTTCTAGTAAGGATTCAGTTGAGCAGCTTAATTAACTTAAGCTTTTTTCCCAGCTTCTTAACAGTTTCATTGGCATATTTTGTGATTCAAATTTTGTATAGAGCATATTTATACTGATTATTTTCTTTTATCAGGCGGAATCTGGCTACTAATGCGGCTTCGCGTACAAGCCATGAAAAAACAAGTTGTTCAGAAAAATATGAAATTCGTGGAGCTAAGGGCCTCTTGAGGCTTATATTCTGGGCAATTGGAATTTTATTGGATCCATTAGTGGTCTATCTATTTTATTTGGGTGATGATAGAAAGTGCGTTCAAGTGGACAAAAATTTTGGGACGGCAATTTGTGTTGTTCACTTTGTAGTTGATATCATTAATATAATCTTTTACTGGATTTTAGAGCTGCCTGATGATTTAAAAGAAAGTGCATGAATTTGCATATTACTCATATGTGGGTATATAATATGCATATTTCCGCTCTCACTGGTAAGGGAGACACTCTTACAGCTAATTTAATCTTCTTTCTTTTATATTTGACAAGGGCTGAATCAAACTAAACATTTTCCCTCGTGGACTTCAACCTGTTCAGGTGATGCTTATTCTCATTCATGGAACAAAAACCCGCACAGTTTGGTATGGAGTAGCACTTCTTCTATTTCAATTTGTACCAAGAGTAATTCGACTGTTAATATTGACTGCATACGGTTTTTCATCATCAACCTTGGCTCTATGGGCGATTAAGTTCTTTATTCATACGTGTGTTTGGGTGAAGTAAGTTCAGTTACACAAAGGGTTTATTGGATGCAAAACCTAGTTTGTTTGTTTTTTCTTTTTACTTTAACACTGAATTGATTTAAAACAAAAACAAAAAATGAAAAGACTGATGTACTTTGTATAAATATTTGACATTTTTTTCCAAGATTTTTTATCCACTTGGGAGTTGCTGATGTTTTAGGAAATTGGAGCCCTTTGGTATGTCCTAGCCATATACACAGAGGCCAGATGTTGGCAGAAAGCGTGCAGGACTTACAATAGTGGATGCCCTGATCGAGAGTTTCGTGACCGTTTCTTACGTTGTAACGAAAGTTCAGAAGCATACAAAATTATGAATGATTTTTGTTCAAGAAATACAACCGAGTATGATTTTGGAGTATTCCGTGACGCCCATCAGTCTGGAATTCTGGAGATGAGAGGTTTTACGGTCAAGATTTTATTTTGTTTTCGATGGGCCATGCAAACTCTCAGGTTTGTGCACTATTAATATCATATACTTTCTTGTTCTTGTGTGGTGGTTTTACTGAGGAATAATTGTTCTAAAATTGAAAACAAACACACCCTATTACTTCAACAGAGAATTCCTCAGATGTTTGTAGTATGATATTCTTTCCTCTTCATTTCCACCATTAGTGAGAAAATAACAAGAAGAGATAGATCTGGAGAATTTGAGAGAAGAAGCAATTTGTTACTGAACTGATTTTTCATTAACTAAAAAATTATACAAGAAGATCTTTACGTCAGGTAGATGTAAAATCTAACATTAATATGCATGTTTGGTATCTCAAGTTTTCTACCATAAATTCTCCATTTCAAATGGTACTAGTCATTTGGACCTGATATATTTTATATACATTTGAATTCAATTTTTGCAGTGGTTTTGGTTCGAACCTTGAAACCGCTAGTACTGACGTATTTGGAAACGTCTTTGTACTTTGTGTAATCTACACGGCAGTGATTTTGTTTTACTTTCTTATCGGACAAATGCAGGTTCGTATATTTTATTCTGTTAACTTCTTGTTTCTGGATTTAATAGTACATGCTAAAATATACACCATCTCCTCGTTTGTGAAGCAGGTATATATGCAGTCCGACGTTGAAAGACGAAAGGAGAGAAAAAGCAGGTCGTCAAATACTTCTTAATCGGCTTCGGACGAACCCTTCCACATCAGAGCTGTTGACAAATTCAAGCATAAGCCAGTTGTATCCCCGCGTGCCTGTTAGCATGTTTCTATGTTCAAGTTTGTTCCTATTCTTTAGATAATGGGTGCTAGTATTTTGGTCAAAAAGAACTATTCAAGCTTGTTACGAAGGTCGAAGCCTTTGTTCTTATGGCCTATGACTTGAAAAATATATTCATTAAGCATCAATCTTGAGGCATGAATGGCTGCTCAGGGAGCGAACACAAGCAACACAATGGATTAGTCAGATAGTTTCGTGGTTTGGTTTATAATATAATCGTGGTTTATAGGCCAGAGATATATCTGAGACCTATAAAATTATGTTTATTGTTCTATGAACAAATTCCAAAAAACAATCTGCATTTGCTAGAAACTTTTGCATTTAAATTTAATGTAGAGACTATATCTGGTTTCCATGTCCCAAGTTTGCTTTGCCTTTAATTTCAAAGAGTAATCAACCTGTTGCTGCTAAGAGAAGAACAATCTGCAGGCAACTTTAATTTCCACGGAGCTGAGAAATTGAGAATTGGCCGTGTTGTATTACGTTTTCATTTTCATTTTCTTTTTCTTTTTTATTAGTCTTGGAAAACCAGTAAAACTTGTTCCCCATGTACTTTCATTCCTCATTTTGAAGAAGTTGAAAATTTAAAGAGAAGTGATTAAAAAAAAAGTAAAACATAATCATCAAAATCATAAAGCACTTCGGCTTTTCTTTTTCAGCTGTTCAATGTCTTCAAAACCTGTGCTTTTTTCCTCCGCGGCCAATTCGAATCCGGTGGGCGAACTGCATTGCTAAAACATATAAACAAAAAATGAAGCTTGTAATATGACTAAAACGAAAAACCTTGAAGAAGAATGGCGAAGTAATTTTTTTCATTAATTCTATTTTGTTTTTCTACATTTATACTGTTGATGTCAAACTCCCACACCGGCTAGGAGATAAGGGTCTTGGTCAATTATATAACACAAGGACACTCTCACCACCCAAAGATGCCTTTTTAGGATAAAACTATGCGAGTCTACCAACAATCTAACTTGTGGCCCAAAGTAGACAATACCTCTGAGAACCCACCTATCATGTGACTGGAGACGATATAACAACAGTTGGCCCTCAAAGGAGGGGTCGGGTTTACTTGGGCTAAGCGTGCCGATTTGTACCCTCGCCAAACCTCCCAAGCCTCTTGTCTAGGAGGTTGTGTTGATGTCAAACTCTCACATCGGCTAGGAGACGAGGGCCTTAGTCGCTCATACAGCACAAAGACACCCTCACTATCCAGAGGCGCCTTTTCAAGACAAAACTGTGCGAACCTGCTAGCAGTCCAACCTATGACCTAAAACAAACAATACCTCTGGGAACTCACCTACCATGTAACTAGAGATGGCATAACAACATATACAATTCTATATATTTCTTATATAGTTGCAAGATAAATCTGATCTGGCAATCCAAGTCATTATCCTCAGCCAGTAATCTTGACCATTCAGCTTTTACAAACAAACACAAAGTTACAATCTATGTATCGTAGGATTTGCAGAACAATGGAAAAACACCACCGTTTAATCTCTAATTCTTCTTTTCTTATATCTAAGTACCTACTATAGTATTGCTACAGTAAAATGCACCAGATGTAGTCAAACAATATAGCTATAGTAGACCTAGCAAAACAGGTGGGTTGAGTCCAACGGAAATAGGTCCAAAACGATTGATTTTAAAAGAGTCCAATATTTTGGGCCCGTACTCTACCCTACATGGTATGGATGGACCTATGGGTACCCATACTGTTAACTGCAGTTTTCATTTTTAACCATTACACTCTCACAATTTCTGTACTTTTCATTTGTTACAATTACACCCCCACAATCAACTCCTCCAAATTCATTTATCTCGAGATGGTAAGGAATAACTTTTGTGTTGAGAAATACACCTCGGTGTTTAGACTTGAAGTAGTTCTAATTGACAAGCCAAAAATTTTTATGAACTCATTAAATTTTAGAAAACATCTGTGAGAATTCACTTCTCAACCAAGAATTTTATCTATGGATTCGGAATCGCAACTCCGGTTTAACAGCAGGAAGCAAACGATATCCAGGCTTGCAAAAGAAGCACCTCTACAGAGGACCAGGGAAGGTTCTATTCTCCTTTTGCTCATTCCATTCTCCAGGGCAAAGAGAACGATAACATTTTGCAAACTTATCACACTCTGCGGCACCTTCTCCCTTGGCAGGTACACACCGGTGATACTCAATATAACGGGTAAAGCAATGCCTTGTTTGATTTGTAGTTGGGAAACAGATATCTGCAGGTGTTGTCTCCAGCTTTATCTCCGGTGCCTCAACTGTAGCTTCATCCGGATTGCCCGAGTTTTCAGTAGTTTCACTGCTTTCCTCAACAGCAGCTACAACAATTTCACCACTGTTTTCCTCAGGAAAAGCAGGAGGGGGTTCTAAATTGAATTACTTTTTGATACGTTTCTCGACGGGTTAAGGATCAATGAGGCTAAAAACCCAGGGCATGATATCATTGCTTAAGACTATAGTGTTATATGTTAGAGAATATATCTTTTGTTAATTTTTTTAAGGGTATAATTGATAAATCGATTAAATTTATGGTAAATTTGTCCTTTAAGTAAAAACTTTCATGGAAATTAAATTTTTGGATATCGTAAAAACTTTCATGAAAATTAAATTTTTGGATATCGAAAAGGATATAGCCATCGAAGGTTATACACTGAATGACGTGATAAAATCTTGATCGTAAATTAATATTAAATTAAAATTAATCAACGGTCAAAATTTTATCATGCCATTAAACTCATGAATTTGGTGACTATATCATTACTCATTGGATATATGTCCATTTAAAATATTGGTAATGTAGTAAAATATATCGTTGAATTAAATTCATATTTACAAATTTACCCACAATTGGGTGCAAGATATTAAAGCCCATTTAGACTAGCCCACTTAACTTTTCGGCCCATATCTAAATTCAAGCCCAAATAAAAAATACCGAACAACAAGCTTTTGTCTCTCAACTTTGGATCTCTCAACCTGATACGAAGACGAAGCTGAACTCAACTCAAGAGTTGGCTGCTTTATAGCTACGCGGGCCAACTTCTTTTTGCTTTTGGAGCGAAGTCTTAGAACTCCCAAAACTCATTCTTACAGAGCTTTAGATCGATCCCACATCACCAAAACCCCTGTACTTCAACCAAGGATGTTTAAAAAGTAATATTGCTTTCAATTTTAATACTCTTTTTTTTTTTTTTTTGGTTGTTTTTACTTGTTTTGGCAATATGATTGTGATATAGAGGTTCCTATGCGGGTGTCGGTTTGTTTTTTCACCTGGGTTAGATTGTTTATTCTTATTGGTTTGGGGTTGATTGTAATTGTAGTGATGAATTTATGAGGACAAGTATCATTTTTGTTTTTGTTTTTATGTTAATGCTAGCTGTTAATTTACTTGCAAGACGAAGTTATGGATTAATTACTTGATAATTGTTTATGTGTTGATGGTTTATTATGTTGCGTTGGTGCTAATCTGTTTTTGGTAATTTAATCTTGTGATTTTTGTTTGTGTCAAAGTTTGATTTTCTGCTAGTTGGGTTGCATTTGGTGCTGACCTTTTGAAATTGAAATATAATGCATGTATTTGAGGAGGGATTTGTTTGCACTTGGTGTAAAATTTGGTGTGAGATGAATATTGTAGGATTAATTCTTTTGCTGATCATACTGTTGAATTAATTACCTTTGCCTCTGTTTAATGCGTGCCAAATTTTATGCTAATTGGGTTTCAAGAATCATTGTCTTCGGACCGTATTATTACCGATGGACTAAATACTCTTACACTTGGTGTAAGAGTGTGGTGATTCACAAGAAGCGTAGAGGCTATTCATATTATTTATGTAAATTAGTTTATGTCAACCTCTGGTGAATGTGTTATGTTTGGGTTGTTTTGTGCACTATTAGCAACTTTTTTTTTGGTTGATGTTTGAAGTTTGCTATTCTAAGATTTGTAAAGACCTAGACTGCTTTTCCTCCTTTGTCTTCATATGTGCGACGATTAATTCGCTTAAATATATATATGATTGCTTCTATTAGTAAAAATTGTAGCCTGTTATTTACTATGTGTACTTCATTATCTTGTAGGTTTTCATCTGAAGAAGTTTCCTCACAGAACCAAGTCAAGGCATCTGTCCAGCGCAAAATTCGCCAAAGCATTGCAGATGAGGTCATATTGTTATTGTTCTGGTTTCTTTATTCTGCTTCTAATAATTTAACAGTCGGATTCTATTTTTCTCTTGATATCTTTATTCAATAAAAATTTGCATTTCAAGTGCAGTACCCAGGACTTGAGCCAGTGTTGGATGATTTGCTTCCAAAGAAGTCACCTTTAATTGTTTGTAAATGGTGTGTAACTTTGTTGCTTCTGCTTCTACAATTACTTATTAGGTCAACTGTTCTTTTTGTGATATTAGTTTCCGGTGCATCTGCAGTATGTTTCTTAACATTCTTCCCCTATTCCTTGCAGTCAAAATCATCTGAATCTGGTTCTAGTGAATAACGTTCCATTGTTTTTTAATATTCGTGATGGACCTTACATGCCTACCCTACGACTCCTCCATCAATGTAAGCTATTGCTTTATCAACAATATTTGTTATCTCATAATTGCATTTTTTTTTCAATATTAATCATTCTATTATTCATTGCATGTTCTTAATTCAGTAACATGATGTTTCTGATTCTTATATTTTTGGAGGAAATTCTTCGTTAATGACAAGGAGGAACATGTAAATGATTTTCTACTTACTGCTATCTCCATATGTACACAAAACAATTTTAATGTATGTACAAATTTTGGAAATTGATGAAAAGTAGAAACTGCTATGAACAAATTTATTGATAATCATGTTTATGGTTCTCAGATAAGCATATTGGTGTATAATTTGCCTTTTAGTTTGTTCTAGATATGTTAGACAACAAGATAAGTGTTAACTTTGCCTTTTTGGTAGTTCTCGAATTGTTAGACAAAAAGATTAGCTAGATTGTGAAATCGTTGTATCTGGGTCCTCAGCTGAGTCATCCACTGATGTATCCTCATGAAAGGTATCCATAAGCCTTTTGGATAAATTCAAAGTTGCTAAGCATATTATTTTTACTTTGCTTGGAAGGAGAGAAATAAGAGGGAAGGAATTAGGGTAGAAAAAAAAAAAAAAATAGAGGGGAAACCAATACTGCTGTTTTGGCAGGATATATTTGTAGGAAGGGGCAAGGATGTGGCAACTGTCCAATCCACTAATTCTACGTTTCTGTAGATTGGAGGAAGAGGGATGTAATCTACTAGGCAACTGAGCAAAGATAGTCAATCTATTTTTTTTTTACTTGTCTTTGAAGAAGTTTAACATATAATGTTTAGATTTTTCTCCTGGCTGCTCATACTCAATCATACCTCTTCAGTTATGAGTTTGAACTGCATCTAAGATTTGAACTCTTTCAGACATTGTTCTTCATTGCTACTCTGTCATGTAGCATCTCTGAAAAGTTATTCTGTCTTGTGAGTTGGCCTCACTGTTATAGAAATTCAAGTTGCAGAATATTTACTGTTTTGTATTCTTGGTTTACAGATCCAAATATAATGAAAAAACTACAAGTAGACAGGGGTGCGATAAGATTTGTCCTTGCTGGTGCAAACATAATGTGTCCTGGTCTTACATCTCCTGGTGGTGCTTTGGATGAGGAAGTGGAAGCAGAAACTCCTGTGGTACATACGGTCCTTCTCTGTTTCTGGGTTTATGTTACTTTGCATTAAGTTGCACTGTTTTCTGTTCTAATATGAGAGTGGTGACATATTTTGTTTTCTTTATGATGTCCAAAATGGATACTTTCAGGCCATAATGGCCGAGGGAAAGCAGCATGCTCTTGCTATTGGATTTACAAAGATGTCAGCAAAGGACATGTAAGTTGTCAAACCTTTCATTAGCATTATTCTTTTAACTAAATGATGTGTCAAACTGGGTATTCAGATTGCCATTTTCCTTTCTTGTTACTAGAAGAATAATGAAAGCATAACATGACCTAGCCACGACTCTTGTGAACAGCATGCGCAGGGACAAATGAATATGCCTTCGTTTTCCCTTAATTCTGGTCTGTATATTAATAGATTCAACTTATTATCTTGTCTTACAGAAAGGCAATTAACAAGGGCATTGGAGTAGACAATATGCATTATCTCAATGATGGTCTTTGGAAGGTATGTCAACACCACACTTACAGAAAGCCCTATCATACTGCAAAGATCTTAGTTTCTTCTTTTGAAATGAAAATTCCATATGATCTTTCGAGAAAAAGTACGAATACTCAAGCTTTACATAATTTGTATTGCAGATGGAACGTCTAGATTGAGGACATGCCGGCCGCAGCTGCAGTTCCATCCATGTAACAGATAAAGAAAAAACTTGAAGTTATTTGTTTTATCTTTCTGCTGCTGTTTTTTTTTTGTTTTCCTTTTCTCTCAAACTGTTTGTATCCGGCTGAAGCAGTTAAGAACATTTCACCATATGTTGTTTCCATTTTTCCCCTTGATATAGTAGAGGATCGTTCTATCAAGTTA